TTCTCTCCAGCTAGTGTTCAGTTGGTTATTCAGGATGATTTTTCTTTAATTTAGTTGTAATTCCAGTTTGGCCCTGGGAGGGAGGTTAATATAGCTTTCACTTACTCCTCCACCATGTTGGTTCTTTAATAGTTTTTGTTTTTGTTTTTCTTTAAGAATCTAGGTAACAGGACTGACAAATTCCTCTGATGTCCTTTATCACACACATCTCTTCAGCCCATATCTAATTCCAGTCACAGCTGTAGAAAGCAGTTCTTTCTGCATTCAGACTCATCTTAGGCAGACAGCATCTCATACTAAGTAAGCATCTTTCTGTACTCTGTTCCTAAGATTTCTCTGATACCACAAGAGCCTTCTTGGATCACAAGCACAGGCTAAAAAAGTGGGAAAATTATCACCTCCTTAAGAAACCCATTATGTGAAAATTATGTGGAACCCATTATGTAGAAAATATACCTAAACTATTTTTTTCTCTCATTGAAAAATGATTTTCCCCTATTAAATGTATCACCACAGCATTCATCCAGTATATGCTTTGATTTATGTGCATATCTAGGATAAAGCAATTCAATTAAGCCATGGTGTACTTTCATTTTAATATTATAGAAACACTTTCTACTACTGAATCCCATGAACATAACTGGATGGTTTTTACTGCATTTTGAATTATGTTTGAGATCATCTAACTTAAAATACATGCTGTATAGCATACTTGAAATTTATCTTGGGGGATCTCAAAGGGATGGGAAGCCATCCTCCAGTGCACTAGCATAGGCTTAGTAGAGGCCCATGTGACATACATATCATACATATGAAGATACCATAGGCAGAGTAAATAAACAGTGGTTTCAAAAATGATCTCAGGTCATGACTGGCGTGGCTCAGTTAGTTGCGTATTGTCCCACAAAGTGAAAGGTCACTGATTTGATTCCTGGGCGGGGCACATGCCTGGGTTCAGTCCCCAGTTGGGTCATGTGCAAGAGGTAGCTTCTTGTTTCTCTGTCACATCAATGTTTTTCTCTTTCTGTTTCTCCCTCCCTTCCCCTCTCTTTAAAAATAAATGAATACCGGGGGGGCGAAAGGAAGGGGAGGGGAAAGTCAAGGAACATATAGCAAGGACTCATGGACAAAACCAAAGGGGAAGAGTTGAGGGAGGGAGGGAGGGAGGGAGGGGGTAAGGGAAAGTGGAGGGAGGAAGGTAGAGACAAATGTATTTGAAAAAATAAATTAATTAATTAAAAAAATTTACAGACAAAAATAAAATAAAATAAAAATAAATGAATAAAATATTTTTTAAATCTCCAAATGGAAAGTCACAAAATCAGAAACTATATATTGGTATTTATTCATATCAAAATAATTAATTATTCTCCTGCACTTAAAATCTCAAGCATATGCCAGTGAGTCTACATGATAATATTTAAGTATTGAAGTAAATATTTGTGAGCAATACCAAAGTATTATTAACCAATGTTTTGGTAGGTGGTAGAATTGTTACATTTTAATAAATTTTAGTATTATTGCAATTTGTCTAGTTCTGGAGATTTTAAGTCTTAAAATTAATACTTTTATATTAAACATTATTTTAGTTAGCATGTCTCTTTTAAGTATAAGGTTTTAGTGGTATATGATCCCTGAATGTTACAATGAAAAAGATCACTGAGTCTCCTCATTTAATTGTTGAAAATCTGATCAGAATTTTTTTCTTGTTGTATAATTTTTATATTGAAGGCATGGGAGAAATTGCTGTTTGGAGTTTGTTTTTTTCATGCACTTGTACAAGAGAGAAAGAAATTTGGTCCTCTTGGTTGGAATATTCCATATGGATTTAATGAATCAGATTTACGCATCAGTATTCAACAGCTACAGGTAAAATTAGAAAGGAACTAACCCTTATGGAGGATAACTGTGTTTCACACCCTTCACTTAGAATAACTTATTCAGTTCTCCCAACATCACTAATAGATAGGTAGATAGTAAGAATAATTATAACTATGGTTTAATGAAGCACTATCTTCATTTGGATTTTTTTTCTGCTACAAATAATGGAAAACCTGATACAAACTGGCTTAAACCATAATGAAACTTATTTCGCATTAAAAAAAAGTACAGAGGAAGGACAGGTTCTGGAGTTGGTCGATGCAGCAAAAGTGTTGTCATCAAGGACCCTGGTTCTGTCTTTTTCAAAGCCTCCACAGAGTTGGCTTTATATAGGTCTTCACTAGCCTCTATTTTTCTCCTCTCTGTCAAATCTACAATTCAGCTCTCAGTCAACAGAAGCAGGCTGTCTACTTTAAATAGAAAAGGAATTTATTGAAAGAATATTGGGTAGATTACAGGATCACCAAGACAGCTGGAGAACCAAGGTATCCAGAGTCATATCCAGGATCACACCACTTCTGGTAGGAGCAGCACCTCTACCCTTCCTGAATATTAGACATTGCAGCTCACATACCTGCCACACACACTCTGGCTAGCTTTCTGATATCATCAAAAAAAGATTTTTTGCTATTCCTACTTTGTTGCTTAACAAACCCCAGTTCAGTCTGGGGTGGATGCATCTTAAGATCCAAGCCCAGGGCACAGGCCTAGCTCTTAGCTGTAAGGAAGGTTGGGACTCACAATGTGAGGTATTCAGGGGGTCAGCAGGCCCTGCCAAATAAATAAATAAATAAATAAATTACAATATCCACTGTAAATCTCTACTAAATAAACAAATACGTACATACATAAAAATATCCACTGTGAATCCCTACTAACTCAGACTTTGAACTAGGCATGTTACTTATATCAATTCTAATTCTCACAGCAACCCTGTAAAGTTAGTATTATTCCCACTTTTAAGAAAACCAAAGCTAGGAAGTGAACTTGCCCAGCTAGACAAACACAGAATATTAATACTTTTCTGCTTTTTTGCTGTAATGGGGGCTTATGTGACGTGGGCCCTCCTAAAGGTCACCCAAAGATAACCCATTATGATAATTCTTTCAATCCCACTTCTATGTGTATTCATAGGTGTTTGATTGACAGATATTTAATGCCATCTTAAAATGGAAATGAAGTGAAAGACTGTTTTTCTCTTTTTATTTTTCATTTGTTTCAGTTGTTTATAAATGAATATGACACAATTCCGTTTGAAGCTATCTCTTACCTGACTGGGGAATGTAACTATGGAGGAAGAGTGACAGATGATTGGGACAGACGTCTCCTTTTAACCATGCTGGCTGACTTTTATAATCCACACATAATCGAAAACCCTCATTATAAGTTTTCTCCTAGTGGAAACTATTTTGCACCTCCCAAAGGCACCTATAATGATTACATTGAATTCATTAAGGTAACTAATACTGCTGAAAACAGTGTTAGATTTAAGTGTGATTTTTTTAAAGAACAAGTAGTAAAATATTCCCTAGAAATGTATCGGATTAGGTAAGTATTATGGTTTTAATCAATTTTTAGTATGTTTTGTTTCTAATAAATATTAAAAATTAGAAAAGTTTGATTCCTTTATTATTTGTTTAGTTGATTTTTAATCCAGTTTGGTCTGTACATGTCTACCTTATGAATGAATGTATCCAGTGAAAATGTGATGCTTGCTTAATCTATTCTGGTAGAAACTTCCATTTACTCAACACCCTGAGATATTTGGATTACATGAAAATGTTGATATCTCCAAAGATCTTCAACAAACGAAAGTCCTCTTTGAGTCCTTGCTTCTCACGCAGGGAGGCTCCAAACAGACAGGATCCTCAGGAAGTACTGACCAGATTCTACTTGAAATTACCAAAGATATTCTCAAAAAGGTAGTGTTTAAAATACCTTTTTAATGTTTTAAAATATGTCGCTTATAATACAAATCAAAATGGTACTGAAATGACAACCTGAAAACTTCATTTAGGAGCATTATGACTTTGAGTCAGATATTTTACCTTTCTGAGCATTAGTGTCCAAATCTATGCACTGGTGATGAGTTCTGGTGATCATTAAAGAGATATGAGTTTAAAGTACATAGCTCTTTGAGGAAGACTGGTTGCAGCTGCAGCGGAGCTCCATCAGCCCACACCTGCTCCTGACTCACCACTGTTCATTTTCACTGAGAAACAAGTCGATCAAGAAGCTGCACCCAGCCATGGCTTTTTCAAAAATTAAATGTATTGGGGTGACATTGGTTAATAGGATCATGTAGGTTTCAAGTGTACAAATGTATGATACTAGCTCTTTCTATGATACTAGCTTTGTATATTGCACTGTGTACCCACCACCTATGGTCAAACCATCTTCCATCACCATACATCAGGCCCCCTTTCACCCCCTATTCTCCCGTCCCCTCCCCGCTGGCAACCACCACATCGCTGTCTGTGTTCACAGGTTTTAGTTTTATATCCTACATGTAAGTGAAATCATATGATTCTTAGTTGTTGTTTTTTTTCTGACTGACTTAGCACAGAATTCTCAATGTCCATCCATGTTGTCACAAATGGCAGTGTTTCATCTTTTCTTATGGCTGAGTAGTATTCCATTGTGTATATGTACCACATCTTCTTTATCCAATTCTCTATCAAAGGACACTTTGGTTGTTTCCATGTCTTGGCCACCTTGAATAATGCTGCAGTGAACATAGGGGTGCATATATCTTTGCAAATACATGTTTTTTAGTTTATTGGGTAGATATCCAGGAGAGGGATTGCTGGATCATATGGTAACACTATTCTTAATTTTTTGAGAAACCACAAGACTGTTTTTCATCATGGCTGTAGCAGCTTACATCCCCACTAGCAGTGAATGAGGGTTCCTTTTTCTCCACAACCTCTCCAACACTTGTTATCACTTGTCTTGTTGACAATAGGCATTCTAACAAGTGTGAGGTGGTATTTCATGGTAGTTTTGCTTTGTATCTCCCTCATAGCTAGTGAGGTTGAATATTTTTCCATACACCTGTTCACCATTTGTATGTCTCCTTGAGAGAAGTATGTGTTTAGGTCCTCTGCCCATTTTAAGCCATGACTTTTAAAGATGCTAGAAAGACTCTCATGGAACCAGAGATGGCGATTCACCAAACTAGAATTACTCTAACCAGCCACAACAGAAAGTCTTTGGAGAAAGTGTGTGCTGATTTAGTCAGAGATGCAAAGGAAAAGAATCTCAGAGTGAAAGGACCAGTTCTGATGCCTACAAAGACTCTGAGAATCAATATAAGTAAAACTCCCTGTGGGAGGGGTTCTAAGACTTGGGATGGGTTTCATGTGAGGATCCACAAGCAACTCATTAACTTGCACTATCTTCCTGAGGTTGTTAAGCGGATCACGTCCATCAGTATTGAGGCAGGAGTCAAGGTTAAGTCACCATTGCAGATACTTAAATCAATCTTTTAAATTAATTAATTGACTTCAGTTGTTATGGATAGATAGATAGATAGATAGATAGATAGATAGATAGATAGATAGATAGATAGATGATAGATAGATAGATAGATATAAAGTACTTTGCATAATGCCGGGCACATGGTAAGTTCTTAGTAACTATATTTTGTTGATGAACTAATGAACATGTGTACTTACCATTTCTAAGCAAAGATAATGGACCTCCTTTTTAATAATGGAGGGAATGGTTTGAATTTACTAGATCAAGGAGTGAATAGTTTTTAAGCTGTACCTTAGAAAGTGAGGAGGCAAAGGGAGCCAACATCAGCACTAAGTTAGCTGTTAGGGCTCTCTCTCCCTCCCCCCGCCCCCATAATAGAGCCCACTGTACTTACTTAGCCCTACTAGGTAAAGTGGTATGATACTATCTATTCTCACTTTTTTTTCTATCTTAAGTTCAATAAATAAGTACTAATGTAACTTTAAAAAAGATGATAGTCCCAAGCACAGATCTTCACAATTCTCCTCTAGCGGAAATAGTGTAATTATCCCTATATTTCAGTGTATTTCACTGTTAGGCTCTCTGACATAGCAGAACCTGACCATAGTCCATCTGCTTTGTAAGCCCATGGACAGCACTACTCCTCAGCTCTCACAGCTAGTAGCCTTTCCTGGCGCCACTCCTTAAGAGCCTGCTCATCACACACCTGGCTGTGGCCACTGGGGAAGAGAGGGGAGCATCAATGCCTATGACCCTTAGGTGGGAGCAGGCTAGCCTCTTCCCTCCCCTCCTCCTAGAATGCTTCTTCTGTTGTTTGCCTCTTCTCACCTGTGGCCCCTTACCGGTTCTGTGGTTTATCTCTGTGGAAAGGTTCTTACCCTTGCAGAATGGTGGCACTTACAAGATCTCTAACAGGAAATTACCTGGCAGTGGAATCTGGGACTTATTTGGGGTAGAGGGACTTATATGGAGTAGAGGGACTTATTTGGACTAAGCCAAAGGGTCCGTGAGTGACACCACCTAGTGTGACTTAGAAATTCTTACACCACCCAGCAACCATCACCTGGGGACTCTCTGGGTAGCTCAACTTTTTAAATTTGGGATTTTCCTGATTGGGAAACTTCTTTGTCCCTTAAGGAGTGTGAATTCCAGCATCTTATAGCTTAATCATCAGTCCCAAAGTTCCTTTCAGCAATTCTCAAGCATCCCTGAGGTGCCTCATAGAAATCAGACACATGGTGACCTTCTCTCTCCCTGTGCCCTGGAACCCTGCTACATTCACACATTATTTGATAGTGGCATAAGCTAAGCTATTTGAAGCCAGTTGATAATTGGTTGGAAATCAATATAAAACAGTTATGAAATGGTACATCAGTTTTATCAATACAAAATAAGATTCCATTTACAAAAGGAAATTACAAAACTTTCCAGAAATATGTATCTTCTGCGAAGTGCCATATCCTGCAGTATAGGCCTTGGAGTGAGACCTGCGGACTTAAACAGATCCCTTTTTGGCTGTGTGACCTTGGGCAGTTACTCATCCTCTCTCTACTTAAATGTCCTCATCTGTAAATGGAGGTAATAATGGCCACATAAGAGGGAATGCTAAGGATTAGATGAGATAATGTATGGGAAGCGGTTAACAGAATACTTAGCAAATAGTAACTTCTTAGTGTTAGCTATTAGTGATATTATAGCTGAATGAAACTAATTATTTATTCTAAGAGTAATATATGATCTTCAAAATCTATTTTTTTAGCTACCAAATGATTTTGACATTGAATCATCCCTATGGAAGTATCCTGTGAGATATGAAGAGAGCATGAACACTGTGTTAGTACAAGAAATGGAAAGATTTAACAAGTAAGGATCTATATCCTTAGTGATTCAGAAGGTGACCAACCATTGTGTTGATAAAAAGACAAACTGGTATTAAAATTTTAAGAAAAAATTATCAAAACCTGCCATTTCTGTAGAATTTCCCCCCTTTTTAAATTTATAATTTAATTGCATAACTTTAATTTTTGCCCCAGAAGTAAGGATATCTTTTATAATGTAACAATAATGATGAAAAAAAGATCTGGTTGAAAATATTCATTAATCAGAGTTTCTCATTAATCTATTATTCTTTTCAAGAACTAAAGATGAAACAAACATTAATTAGGCCTATGTGTAGTCACATCTTTTGACAATTTTCTTCCATTTGACATTTATACACCTCCCTTTTCTTCCTGAGTACAAGCTGGGTTGATTAGGTACCCCAAAATAGCAAACAAATGTTATTTGTTTTTAAAGTTTTTCATTGAATTTCCTACAATTCAGTACTGGCTTAAAGAATGGAGACTGTTTTAGTTATGAATTTTCTAAAGTGTTTCCAGGTCTATTTGGGTTTCCAGGCTTGTTTTAAAATAAAACACATTAAAAAATTCTATAATGCCTTAATTCAGTATTTCATAAGAGCATATATATAAGTATATATATAAGAATATATATAAATATATAAAATAACATATTATCCCTCAGTTGCTTAGGCGTCTAGCCTAAAACCTTCATATCAGTTATATTTATGATGTTCTTAGCAGTTTAGGCCTAAGTGAGAACCAAAGTATTTGGAAGTGCATAAGTAAATATACACTTTATGCTTTGATGCATTGTTTCCTCAGTTTCAGCCATCACATAATACTTTGATCTTTTTTCCACATTTCAAAGTCACCTGTAACATTATTTACATAAAATTTTTCCTTAAATCATTCTCTGCTTAAATTATCCTGGTCCTAAGCAATAACACCCAGAAAGCTAGTTGTATTATTTACTATATTTAAAAATATTTATTATTAAAATGAAATATGTTCATTTAAGTATAACATAAAATTATGTTACATTACCAAGTACAGGTGACAATACTTTGGGAAACAGCCTCATAAAGCTGAGTGAGATTCCTACTATTGCTTCTGAAAAGGCTCCATGTTGATATTTACTTCATATATATATTGATGATAGAATTTCTTTTCTTGCAGTTTAATTAAAACTATACGTAACACTCTGCGGGACCTTGAAAAAGCTATTAAGGGTGTGGTTGTAATGGATTCTGCGCTGGAGGCACTCTCTGGCAGTTTGCTAGTTGGAAAAGTTCCAGAAATATGGGCCAAACGATCATACCCAAGTCTTAAACCCCTAGGAAGTTACATCACGGATTTTCTAGCCCGGTTGAACTTTTTACAGGTAAAAGATTACATATAATGGGAGACATTAGAAATTGACTATGGTCACCTGAGGTCTCTGAGTTTAATGGAATGTGATTTAATAGTTTCCTGCTAATCTAACCAAAATTTTAGAATATTGAAAATTGCACAAGGTCAAAGTATTGAGTAGAGAATTAAAGGTGAGGATGGGCTGGGAAGGGAGACTGCTGGGTGGAAAATGGAGACAATTGTACTTGAACAACAACTTAAAAAAATTTTAAAGTTTTCAAAATTAAAAAAAAAAAAAGCCTCAGAAAGAACAACCTGTCAAAAAAGAGAAAGATTTAAATTTTGGCTTTACTTGAACCCAAGTAATATGTGACATTTATATATATATATATATATATATATATATATATATATATATATATATATATATTATTTTTACAGATTTTATTTATTTATTTTTAGATAGAGGGGAAGGGAGGGAGAAAGAAAGGGAAACATCAATGTGTGCTTGCCTCTTGCACACCCCTTACTGGGGACCTGGCCCGCATCCCATGCACGTGCCCTGACTGGGAATGGAAGCAGTGACCCTTTGGTTCACAGGCCGGCACTCAATCCAGTGAGCCAACCAGCCAGGGCTCAAATGTGGTTTTATGATTTTAATACTGATGATAGATTACAAAAAGAACTTGAGGCTTGGACTTATCAATAATAGGCCATTATCTTGAAAATCAGTTGCTTCTTACCTCTTATCTCATAAAACCAGGGAAAAGATGAGTGCTTTGAAATCTCATTCCCCACCCCTACTCCTCACTCCTGCCCCAAGCACACACATAAAGGATGTTCAGGGCAGGAAAACAATCATAAGGCAAGGCACTATTTTTCCTTCCTAACTCCTCAGCTCACCTCCATCCTATGGTTGATATTTATGTAGGGATAAGTGGTAGGGAGAGACCCAAAAATACTTTTTGGAAATTCACATAAGTATATGACCTTTCAGTGTTGAGTTGCCTTTTTATTACATAAAAGCTTATTTCTTTCACTGTAGAAGTTTACCATAAAGTATCCAGTGCTTGTAAAGATGTGAAGGGACATGCTCTCTCATACATCCCCCCTTATTTTGGTCAATGTTTTCTTATTGTTTCAAGTTCCTTCGATTATTTATTAGTGAGCCTGCGCTTCCTTTGATATATGTGCTTGCCATTTGTATTTTCTTCTGTAAGTTGCCTATTAATTTTGTTTTGGACTGTTTTTAAAATTTTAATTTATAGGAGCTTTTTATACAGATTGTACATTTAACAAAAGAAACATAGAATAGTGACTTTAAGTGTTTATGCTGTAGAAGAGTTGCCACTTAGTAGCCTCAATTTCATCATTCATAAAATGAGCACTTTTATTTCACAGGGTAAGTCTACACTATATGGTAAGCATGCAGTAAATTGAACTATTCTTTTGTAAAATCAGAAATTATTAAATTTTATCAAGTGCTTTCTCAGCATTTATTGCTGGTGATGTCATTTTTAAATCTCTTTTAGGCCCTTATTGCATTGAATTATATCACTACATTTCCAAATGTAAGACCATCCTTGTGTTTCTAGAAAAATCCCTCATGGTCGGTGGTGCCTTATGCTTTAATTCATTCCAAGCATATTTTTAGTGCTTTTGATATACATTACCTATTTATCCTCCAGAAAAATTATTTAATTTTTTCCCCATCAATAGTGATTATGAGTGCCTATTTCTCAGTAATTAGTGTTCATTTTTATCTTTGCTAACTAGATAAGTGAGTGCGTATACACCTGGGTGATTACTAGCCATGTCTA